AAACCATGATTCAAACCTGTTCGAGTCCATTTCATTGTGGTAGTCCCCTTTCTTCTTCCCACGGAACACGTCAAGGCAGCCGGACACGAAGCCAGTGTCACTACCTGCGTGGGTGACAATGACTCTTTCACCTTTTCCAGAAGGAACCTCTAGCCCGGTCGTTAATCCAGACATGAAGGCTTGCCTTGCTGTCTTTATGGTGCTGTCAGTCCACACCTTGTCAACTGTGAGGCCGGCGTTCACCCAAGTCTCGTCCTGGAAGTAGATCTTGCGGTTCTGGGCTCTGTACTTTCTGATTGCCCTCAAATACCACCGCCTCCACTCGACGATGTCCTCTCTCTCAATCAGGAAGGAGTTGCGGTTCCGTTTTTGTTTATCGAAACCCATGTCCTTCAGCAGGCGACACAGGGTAGACCCGGAACAGGACGGCAGCACGTCGTCTTCTTGGAGACGAGCGGCGATTTTCTTCAACGTTGGGATCTCCCCCCGACGGAAGAAATTGTGCAGGCAGCTTCTCACGGCCGTCAAAGTGCACGCGTCGTGATTTGAAATCCTCTTCCTTTTCTCGGCGAATTTCGGGCGCTTCTTTGAAGGAGATTTCACAGCTCTGTTAGCACGTTTGAAGCCACGCTTGATCTCGTAGACCGAACTAACACTGATCCCCGTTGTGGCGGCAGTCCAGGTTGATGACTTCCACAACATTTTTTTCTTGGTACTGCCGCCGCATCCAAGAATAAACGTTCACAACACACTGCCTTGTCTGGCTCGACAGGACATTTCCACTTGCGTGACGTTTGTAGTACACCCGAGGGGAAACGTCTTCAGGAAGGAGTGCTGACATCACGGACCGATCAGCCAGAGCTGTTGGAGTCGCCATTTTGGAAGGCGAGCAACAGCGGCTGGCCGGCTGGCTACGAACATCGATCCTCAGATCTTGTGAGGCGTTGAATTACGTAAATACACGTGTATACTAAGGAGGTGTAATATTTATCCTACTGAGAATAACAAATTTATTTAAGCTTAAATAACGCTAGCATCCCAGAGAGCAAACTTTCATCGGAACTACTTTGCAGAACGGAATAATATGTGCAACGGCATGCGACCAATAAGCATGCAACGAGAGGGACACACCCACTTTTTTCTTAAGGTGAAAACGGGTATGGTTGCTTTAAACGTTTACTACAGTAAACTCAGGGCGTGATGTCTCTTCCCCGGCTCGATCTCTTTGCTTCGACCGGAATTTAGCCGCCATCTTGAAATCGTGATATTTATGACTGCCCTTTCCGCAGCAAAGGCTCCAAGCGTTCGAGGGGTATACAATTCACGCAGCTATAAGGAGTATTCACTGGGCGCCATATTTGTGGGTGATGTCTTGAGCGCATGCTCGGAACGAGCCCACATCAATAGGCTGCTAAGACCGGCAATCTTGATGGTGTGGAATGCACGTTGCAAAAGAACCGAGGAAGCTCGCCGTCAGCACGCGCTCAGCAGTCGCGCACACAGCTATGGCCGCCAGTAAATACTTCCAATACTCCGTTCGCCCTTACCGCTTATTCACACTGGAAGCGAATCCGCATTCGCAAAGCGGTTGCGAACGCGGATCCGCTTCCAGTGTGAATAAGCGGTTAAGCTGAGACTCGCGAGCTCGCTGGTTTCAGCGGTGCTTTGGTTGCGCATGCCTGCGCGTTCTCACTTGTGTTAGCGAGGGCAGAAAGTTCGCGCTGAAGGCGGAGCTTCTAGTCTCAGCTTAAGGGTGAGCAGAGTATATCGAGGAGCGGTTCTAAAGCAAGCAGCTCGCGCACTCGTACATCCTTCGCTGTAGTCGGCATCTTGCTGCACTCTGGGTCTTCAGAAGGTCCCTCTGAAATTACTAGACCAGCTTCGACCACTTGGCCTTCGCACTTTGCTGCGACTCAGCTGAGACCAAGAGCTAGCGTATAAGCATCGCCCCAAGAAGAACTTCAGTGGCGACTCAAGCCCAGCAGTCCCACTGCTCCATTCAAAAGACACCGCTGGAGACATGGTGACGTCTGCTTCTGAAGCATGTTGGTTTCATACATATGCGTGCTTCGGATATGTTTGCAGGCCGCTTTTCTCTGGCCAATGGGACCGACGTACGAGGAAGAAACGCGTATAGGATAGAAGCACTACAAACACGACGGACAACTTAAAGGACAACAAACATCAGAGAGCGCTCCTTGCAACTGAAGGTTAAAGATAGAACTTCAATAGCAAGTAGCGCTCTGTGGTGATCGTCGTCCTTCAATTTGTTCGTCGTCTTTGTAGCGCTTTTTTCCTATACAATGATTCAGTAACCAGCCCTTCTGCGAACAAACGCGCCTCGGGCAGCGTACTGTCTTTTATATGATGTATTAGCCTTGTGACCGCGACTTTAAAGTCAACCTCTCGTGAGCATCGGTTGTTCCACAAGCAAAAACGAAGATCCCCTCTGTCCTAGATCTCCCTCTTTACTGGTTTTATCCTCGCAAGTAGCGAGAAAGCACGAGATAGTTATAGTAACAATTAGAAGGAACGTGTGGGCGGTGATGTGTGGTTGCGTGTTCCAGCCCTCAGCTCTGGCACATCGCGAAGCCGACTTCACCGGGCGTTGTGCTCCTGCGGAAGGGGCCTGGCTGCCTTCGAGGACGGCGACCCATCACACCGCCGTTGGTCAATATTGGCACATCGCTCGACTCCGCGCGGACGCCGCAGAGGGCGTCGGAAAAGGACGCAGGGCCTCGCCGGGACCATGCGAGCGACGAGAAGGCCCGAGGAAGACGCCTGAAAACTCCCTAACCAAAGGCTACTATCTTTTTCTTTTTTTTTTGCTGGGAGGAGAGCGAGTTTTTTTCGCGCACGAGCTGAGGCTCTAATCTACACACACTTTGCGAAAAAGTCGGCGAGGAAATCGGCGGTTGACATTGGTGCCGACCAATCACGGCCACCGAACTCCTTGCTGACTTTTTCGCCAAGTCTACAGATTAGGGCCCCTAATAGAGTTCACAAAAAAAAAAAAAAAAAATTAGTGATTAGTTGTTTATACAGCAGAAGTTTAGTCTGCCAGAGTATGGCGACATTGCTACCTATTATATATAAGAAATGAATACAACTGGCTAGCCTGGGGTTTACTTGCCTCACGCAGTAGTTAGTGGTGCACGACCTCACGCCAGATGTGCTAGTCCAGATCGAAAACGGCAGAGGTGGGGACTCAACCCAGGGAGGGTCCCTGCATTCTGCGGCACGAGGTTTCGCTTCATGGGCTACGAGCTGCGTGGTAGCTTTCTTGCATGCATGCTACCCCTCCAACAACCCCCCCCCCCCAAAAAAAAAAAAAAAAAAATATATAAATATATATATATATATATATATATATATATATATATATATATATATATATATATTGTTTGTTTTTTAACAGAGCATTTGGAGAGCCCACGTTTTTTGCGCCCTCGTCAATCGGCTAGCGTAATTTTGAGTCTAAACTATGCCCCGTGAATCTGCCGTAGGCTCCATTTCAGTGTCTTGGCAAAGGGTGAAGGCTATGACACCCTACAGCCAATCAGCGGTGCAGGACGAAGCCTATGACACGAGGAGCGCCCTTCGTGGGGAGATCGGTGGCCGAGTGTGGCAACGCACTGTAGCTCGGAGCACGTGGAGCGAAAGTTCGCGCTGCAGAACCAAGGGATCTTGGGTTCAATCCAACTTTTGCCCGTTTCGATCTGGATGAGCATGGTATCGTTCGGTCGTGTATCAGTATTGCGTGGTGCACGTTAAAGACCACAGACTAACGGTCGTACAGCACTGGCTAAATTAGCTCATGTACAGCTCAGACACCAGACGCCCATTGAGGCTGATTAACGTCCGCCTGTCTAAATGTACAACACAGTTCCTCTAGTGCACTACGTAGAAACGTTTTGTTTCGCGTACAGCATTGCAGCCAATGTGCATAGGCGCCGCCATAACCAACCTTCTGTTTTTGTATCCTTATATTCCGTTTACTTCACTTCACCATTACCATAGCAGACAAGGTTACTGCCATTTTAGGTTCTACTCTCTCCTTCTCCTCGGCATTGACCTTTGTGAAGGCTCATCAACGCTCGTTTCACTGGCTCGGTATCTCGGTAGGAGAAAGTCAGCTATGGTGGCTGTAATCTGGAGCGTGTGCAATGTGTCTGCGGGGATGTGTTTTCTTTAGCTTTTACATTCATTTAAGTTTCGTATATTGCTGTTCGAAGTAATGCGTATACATTTTTTGTTTCAGGTATTTTTTTTTTCGTATATATTTGCTTTTCTTTTTTTGTTAAAGTCGCGTCTATGTTGTTGTTTTTTTCTGTTTTTTTTTTTGCTTTGTCTAATGTTGTTAGAAGCTGAAAGTATGCGATTTTATTATTTGGTTGTTTATTATTCCATTATTAGGTGTGTCTCTCCTTTTGTATGTAGTTTGCTTTTGTGTCCTACAATGGATGTCCTATTAAATTAGAGACGGGCCTTAGATCACGTCAGGTTGGCTCCAAAGTCATAAAAACTATTGATTGGTTTATTGAGTATTTGATTGATTGATTGATTGATTGATTGTCACGGGTCTCGCTGAGAAGCCCCGATTAGCTTGCCAGACCGTTTGCCAAGTCACGCTAAAACGGAGTATAGACGCTTTGCAGCAGCTGTGCATGGGCGCCGCCATAACTGACCTTCAGTTTTTGTTTCCTCTTATTCCGTTAGCTTCACTTCATCATTACCAGAGCAGGACGGGTTATTGCCATTTTAGATGCTACTGTGTTCTTGTGCCCAGCATAGGCCCTTGTGAAGACCCGTCAACGCCCGCTTCAGTGGCTCGGCATCTCGGTAAGACAAGAGAAGGGCGGCTATGGCGGCTCAATCTGGCGCGTGTGTAAAGCGTCAATACATGGCTGTGACTCTTGCGTGAGCTCCGGGGGAAAACTAAAGTGGCGGCCACTTGGGAGCGCGGTTGTTTGGCGATGGCGGCGGCGGCGTCCACTCACAGTGGTCGTAGTAGAAGTCCACGGTGTGCACCCATCCGAGGTCGTCGTGGGTGTGGCTCACGATGTGCACGTTCAGGAGGCCGGGCTTGGTTGCGTGACACGTCTGCGAAGGAAAACAGTACGAAGGTTCATACAGTGCCTAGATTTCAGAGTGTTTCCAACTGCTTCATCGGGTTAACCTGGTTTATGGGCAGCGTCTGCAATTCGCGGCGAGAAGTTTCAATATCACCGCCTGGCAGGTTTTTAGAGCGTAGCTCTTAGGCGCCCGTTTCCGGCTTGAGCAGCGTCGGCGTCGCCGTTGCCGTCGCCGTCGCCGTCGGCGTAACCGCACAGTGCATTATGGGTAAATTTTCCCGAAGAAACCCGAGGTCCTCCCGGAGGACCTCGGGTTCCTTCGGGGGGACCTCGGAAGAACCTCGGATTCCTTCGGGAGGACCTCAGGTTCCTTCGTTAGGACCTTGGAGGGCCTCGGGTTCTTACGGGAGGACCTCGGGTTCCTTCGGGAGGACCTCGGAGGACATCGGGTTCCTTCGGAAGGACCCCGTGAGGACCTCGGGTTCCTTCGGGAGGACCTCGGAAGGACCTCGGGTTCCTTCAGGAGGACCTCGGGAGAACCTCGGGTTCCCTCGGGAGGACCTCGGGTACCTTCTGTGACCTCGGGGAGGGGGGGGTCACGTGACCCCCCCCCCCCCCCCCCCCGAGGTCACGTGACCCTCAGTACCCTTCCCTCCTCCTCCTCAAGAGCTGCGCTCTAATTCGGCGTTACAGGGAGTTGTAAACGGTTTTCATTTCTTTTTTTTCACAACCCACAGTGAGGATATTTCAACTTCCTTTGCTGGTGCACGAACGTACAATGCGAAGCTTCTATGCACTATGAAAATTAAAACTTAACCACGTGGGTAGCGTATGCGCCACCCATTATAAGGAAGACAGAAACGCCCCTAGCGAGCTTCTCGCCGCGAATAAACTTCTTGCACGAGATCATGATGCAACGCTATACTACCGGTTCGTAAATCTCACCGGAACCCGCTGAAATCCATGTTGGAGGCATTCGTCGCTGTTATGCTATGTTTTGTGTGCTTTGTAGCCGTCCTCGCACTGTTTGTTCGCTCACTTGAAGTTTAAAATGGTAAGTTGCGCCGTAATTAACTGTTCCAGCCGTAAAAGTCGGCGACGAAACGGAGCTACGGCCAGCAGTACTCGTTTTCCTGGAATTCCGGCAATCATTGGGAACCATGACAAGGCGACGCTCGAGCAATCGATTCGCCGGCGTCATGCATGGCTCCGACGGATACGCCGGCACAATCTCGAACAGGGTGTACAAACGGTAGCAGGACGCGGCAATTCCTGGAAGTTAACATCTCCGATCCGGAGAAAAAGAACGAAAAAGAAAGCGACGAAAGAGCAGAGAAAGAAAGCAGACGAAGAGTTACGCCTGTTCATTTGGTCGCGGCAAGTTGACGTTGCTCGAGCGCTTGTCAACTCTATTTAATTTTGTCAATGCGCGATTCCGGTGTTTCGGCAAAGTAAGAAAAAATAACGAGATACAGACCTTAGAAGTGACGTTTTGCTGCTTCATTGCGCATATTAAGTCATCGCGAGTGATATATGAGCTCATCTGGACCGCGTCTTTGCCCCATCGTTCCGAAGCGGCCAAATGCTTGGGACCTTTCGGTTTAGATAACTATATTAACTGCACGACATGGACAGGAAAGCTTCGTAACCCAACTAAGGGTTTGTAGACTGCACCTCGTGTCAGATGAGGGACCCCTTTGCGATAGACTAGGGCAAGACAATATTCGGAAATGTGGTTATATAAAGACGGCTCTATGAGTCTATATCACTATACTGCTGCCTCAATAAGACGCCAAATGCCTCCAACATGGCAGTGAGGCACTGATAGCAGACGACTATGTTGGTTTCGATTTTGAGTCTTAGCGTAAACGGGGGAAAAGGAGCCCGTGTACTCGATGGCACGGAAGATTCTTCCAGCTTCTACATTTCTTCATTCGTAGAAAAGAGCTTTTTGGGGTCCCCTCAACAAATGTCCGTGCGTCCAATTTCATCATTGCGAAACTATGAAGAGAGATCGACAAATGGCGAGTTTCGATTGAAGCAAATAGAGCGTTTCGATCTAAAAACGCAGCGTGCAGTGTTACACTAAACATTATGTGAGCCTCGGAAAGGTAATATTCTTAAAGTTTTTTTACGGACTTTAGTTTTAGCGGTATGGAAAATTGGTCTTGTTCATAATACTTGTAGTACGAAAAACAAAGTGGGGATAAAGTGGTTGGCAAAACTCAACAGCTTATTTCGACATGTTTTTTGTTTTTTTCGACCTTGCAACTTGTCGAGTTTGCAGTGTTCGGCTCTTCAGCTCCTCGCAAAGTCAGGTGAATCACGCGCACCCTCTCATATTAGCACAAACTCGACATCCGCCCGTTTTGACACTTATCCGCACAGAACGGCGAATATTGTCGCCTAAATTGGGGCCCACGCGAGCACATTCTGCTGTGCATAATGACAGCTTTTCAACAGTAAGACAAAACATACTGGCGGTGGCGTACCTGTTGTAATTGTCAAGCGCTGTACAACACGCCAACAGGAAAAAATGTGCGTTGAATGTTTCTTAAGGAGTTTTGCGACCTTTTTGCTAATAAAGGACATCTGAAAAAATGGACTCTTTCGTTCTTGCCCTAACACCTACTTTTGAGTGATTTTGTATTATTACCGCTTCAAATATTCCATAACTTCACGCTGTACTTTTCTGCTGCTATGGAGGCTTGTCAAATAACAACCAAGTTTTTTTTTTTTTTTTACACTTTGAAATAAAGAAAGTAAAGAATCTGAATTCGAAGTTAAGCGAATAGTACGATAGACGTCGTGTTCGCGTTTCTTGATGCACATAAGTCCGACAAGCTGGCAGCAGCAACGCTGGTCGAAGGCGAAGAGAAAGGCTGCTCCAATCACACATGGGGACAAATTGCGCTGTCCCGATTTTCTTCCTCCCCGACAGCCGTCCCGCTAAGCCGAGCGCCTGGCCCAGGAGCATCGTCCGTTATCTGCATATTGATGACGATGCACTGACACTTGATCGCTCGGCGCCGGTGCTTTTGAGCAGCCGCCGTCTCCGCCGAAACGTGCACGGACTCCGAAAGAGTTGCGTCGGATTCCTTTACAGCGCGCCCTTCGAGAAAAGTTCCCGGCGCCGCTGAATACTGATCACCCTCGGTTCGCCGGCGTGGCCGGCTTCGGCCTGCGCCTTTTCTTTTATCGCGCCGGCTTCGCGGTTTAAGACTGCACGTGACTTCGGGTATGCCCCGCTTTTGTTTTTGCACGTATGCATAGAACGCGGCTTTCCGCCTAAGGATTAGAAGTCAATGGCATTAGCGGGGATCGTTCCAAGTCGGTCTTGACGTCAACAGACATCACTGGAGACGCTTCCTGCGTAACTCGCGGCAGCCGATGACGTTACCGACAACGCGCATGCATGACGAACACGCGTGTGTGTTTGTTCTTGCGCGCAATGGAATTGTTAAAGGGATACATCAACGAAATTTGAAATATACCCGTCGTGTTTCGAAATAGGCTGAATATCATCCACAATATCCGTAAATGATAGTCGCACGTTTGTATTTTGAGCCTGATGGCTGTATTCGAGCTCAGCCCTTAGGCGCCCGTTTGCGGCTTGAGCGGCGTCGCCGTCGCCGTCGGCGTAGCCGCGCGTTGCATTATGGGACGTTTCCCATAATGACGTCACGACGGTCACAAGTGACGTCAAGAGGGAGGAGGAGGGGAAGGGAGTTTTCCAGCTAAATTTAGCGAGAAAATGTCCCCCTTAAAATTAACGGGAAAATTTTCCACTAAATTTAGCGGGGAATTTTTTTTTTTTGCTGCATTTAGCGAGAAAATTCTTTTGCTAAATAAAGCGGGGAATTTTCCCGCTAAATTTAGCGAGGAATTTTTTCCAGTAAATTTAGCGGGAAATGGAGCTAAAATGTCCATCTAAATAAAAGGAGAGCTGGAGAGGACGAGGGGTGGGGAGGGGGGGCATACCCTGCCCTCAGTAGTCGCCCCTCCTCCTCCTCAAGAGCTGCGCTCTAATTCGGCATTACAGGGGGTGGTAAACGTCTTTCTTTCTTTTTTTTCGTTATAAACGGCCCACTCCGGCGAGCGCTCGGAGAGCACGTGACATCCGGCGCAAATCGTGACGTAGATTGTCTCAGGACGAGTACAGCTGCGGCGAGGCTGACGTCGTCAGGATGCCCTAGCCGTTCCAGCCACCGAAGCGTTCGAATCACGCCAGCGATCGGGCCACCGCAACTAAATCCAAAGTTGAATTGACACGAATTTTGAGTGACAAATTAATCGTCTATAATCTTGTAGAAAAAGAAAAGTGACGTCTAAAAAAAAAGTCCCGGTGAGAGGGGAGTTTTTTCCTACCGTCTTCTTTTTTGCAGGCCGGAGAGCTGTCCGGATGACGTCAAGCTCAAAGCGAGACAGTTACCGTCACAACCTGTCAAGGTTGCTAAACGGGCATTACAAACAAAGCTTTAGCGACATCCACCAAGTGCTCTTTGCTAATCGTTAAGTTTGTTTTAAAATTTCTGTTCGTATCTTTTTTAACAAAATATTGGTGTGTCCGATGTGATACTGCTCCTTTGAACACGTAGAGACCCAAAATTAAGGGCCGAAATTTCGTTGTGGCAGCCTTTAAAAACATTCGAAATAGTTGGCTTTAGAAGCCAAAACGCGAGTGAAACAAAATATACATAATCGCCTCACGGTCGTGTTTGCAGCTGTAGATGATGCGGACGTCTCATTGGATGATCAGATGATGAGGTGATCTCATTGGTCGCCCGAGTAACGATGAGAGTCGCGGGGCTAACGTCACTTTTAATTCCTGTATGGAACCCTGGAACGCGTCCCCACCTGGTGCACTTGGCGTACTATACAGGTCATGTATTGAAGTGTCCCTTCAACAAACCGGCAATCTAAATTACGCCGCATAAGCTACACGGCGTCGCGATCCTGGTGGCTGCTTAGGCCCGCTTCAGACGGAGCAATTTCACCCAGCAACTTGACGTCGCAACACCAGCAACA